AGGTGAGCCGCATGCTCGTTTGCCCCCTCTCCTATAAAAAAAAATTGCAGAGAGGTGTAAGACAGGGTGACGTCATATCCCCGAAACTCTTCACCGCTGCATTGGAGACGTTTTCAAGCTTCTGGACTGGAAAGGATACGGTATTAACATCAATGGCGAGTACATCACTCACCTTCGATTTCCCGACGATAAAGTCCTTATGGCAGAATCGCTGGAGGACCTAAGAACTATGCTCACTGACCTCAATATTGTTTCCCAACGGATAGATCTTAAGATGAACATGGACAAAACAAAGATCATGTTTAACGTCCATGTCACACCTATGCCGGTAGTTATTGGGAGCACTAAGCTCAAAGTTGTTGACGAGTATGATTACCTGGGACAAATAGTCCGACTAGGTAAGTCCAACTTCGGCCGAGAGGTCAATCGACGGATTCAACTCGGTTGGGCAGCGTTTGGGAAATTAAAGCACATCTTCTCGTCAGGTATACCTCCAAACTTGAAAACGAAACTGTACAACCAATGCGTGTTGCCAGTAATGATCTATGTAACTGAGTTGTGGTCCTTCACTGCTGGCCAGATGAGGAAGCTCAAGGTCGCTCAGCGAGCTATGGAGAGGGCTATGCTCGAAAATTCTCTGCGTAATAAACTTAGAAATGAGGATATCCGCAGTAGAACCAGAGCGACCGACATAGCCCAACGGATTAGTAAGCCGAAGTGGCAAGAGGCCGGCCATATAGCTCGATGAACCGACAACCGATGGGGAAAAAAGGTTCTCGAGTGGCGGCCTCGTACCGACGGACGAAGTGTAGGGCGTCCCCCCATTAGATGGAGTGACGACTTGGTAAGATATGCAGGAAGTCAATGGATGCAGGTGACTCAGGACCATGCTTTGTGACATTCTTTGGGGGAGGCCTATGTTCAGCAGTGGACTTGTGAAGGGCTGTAGTTATGATGATGATGATAATGAACGCTTAAGTCTTATTCAAACATAAGAAATCGCCTTATTTGCAAAATTAGAAAATACCTTCTTAAACAAATATCTTATTAATGCTAATTTTAATTTAATAATTAATAGTCTCATTCTGTCTGTAATGTGGTATATTAATTAAAAATAAATATTTAATCCATCTTGTGGTTTATATTACCTTCATTTAAATTCAGTAAGCGTATTGGTATCGCTGATATTTTTATAGGAGTATCCGTATCGGCATCGTATCGGCTAATAAGCGTATCGATGCATCCCAATTTTTTACTACGTACATATAATAAAATAATAGTACAAGAACAGAAGGATCACTCTGTAATAACAAACTTGCGAGCTTAAAAATAGTTACAACGTGGCTAATGATCATAATACTTTACACGCCTTCTTCAAATTAGCCTTGTTACGGCCCACAGCTGCCCCTGCAAAGGTCGCCTTGGCTAGGGCCCATGGTAGCCTCCTCAACGGGCAGCCGAGGGTTCGGGCCTAAGTGGCATTATGGAAAAATGAACTATCATACTACAAAATAAGAAGAAGGCTTGGAAAATAAATGGTACGTACCTGGATCCGAATCAAAGACCGCCCCAAGGCTCGGTCAGGCCGTAGGTAGAGTAGATGCATGTAAAGTAGTGTTTAGTGGTGTGTATATGTGGGTGACCTGGCCCAGCTGAGGTGACCTGGCAGCGCGACGGTTTCCATGCTGCCCCACAATGCTGCATCACTCCAGCAGGAGTCCACCATGGACAGTTTCTTTCTTCATTGTCACTATTTCAGTCTATTAACTTTATTGTACATTTAACTAACTTCAACTCGCCTAATTCCACATTCATCGTAGAATCGAACATGTGATACCCGACACAAGCAACGGACAGTAGGTCAAAGTTCAAGATTCAATGTCCCGGATTCATTTATCACCAAATTACAAATAGGGAACTAACACCATCTCTACATGAGTCACACGGTTCAGCGTTAAACACAACTAAGTTCCTTCGTTCGATACTAAACACCACGCTGCAATAAGAATTCAAAATCAACCTAGCTGACACGTAAACTAGCTTCCGAGTCAACACACAAAAGGCTCTTAACGCGACGGTATAATAAGACGATGATTTCCAAACAATCAACCGGGAGACGCCTTTAATCAGTCAAATACAATACAAGCCTCTTGTAACGAACTTAAAGCCTAGACAACCTAAACCGAGGCGGTTTTCACAAAACCACAATTACGTAGCGAAGTAACACGCACTAATTCTAAAAATCTAGACCATAAACAGGTCGCACGAAACTTCGGCAGCGGCCACCGAGACACGCTAATTAACTGCATCGCTGCCAGCGAGCTACTGTCTCTCGCCCGTCAGCGCCAAAACGCGGAGAAGCTACATTCCGCTGCCCCCTCCCCGCAACGCGCGTAGCAGCTGGCACCATCGGGCGATTAGCTAAGTGGAACGTGGTTGGTGCCGTCTCAAAATGGCCATTTTTGGCCTAAACAAGCCTACCGATTAAATCATCAAAAAAAAAAATTAATGCTGCTCGCGTATTAAAACAAAATGCACCTTACGTCCGCGTGTGAGAGTCTGTATCACGTTACGCACCATTGTTAAGGTCGCACCTACTGTAGGGTTAGGTGTTGTGAGAAAACAAATTGAATCCTTTGATATTAGTTGGTAGTAGAATACCCCGACGGAAAATTGTTCAATGCGAGGAAGGTTAATATGCAACATCGAGAAAAAATAAGATTATAACAAAGTGAACGTCTTTGAAACTCAGATATTTTACCTACTTACCATTTTAACCGACTTCAAGAAAAGCCTACCTCCTGTACTCAATTCGACTGTATTTTTTATGTGTGTTACGTGGCGTGGAACTTTTTTCTAAGTGAACCGATTTAGATGCTTCTTTTTATTTAAAAGCTGGTGGTGATAATTTGTATATCACATATTAATTTGATCAAAATCTGACCAGTAGTTTTGGAGTTATCCTTAATAATGCTAAATATATGGCGGCGTAGAGATCCACGAACTAAGTCGGAGCTGTATCCAGTAACCTTTATTAACTTATAGTAAATCTAAATAAATCTAAATTGAATATTGCAAAGTCTATTATAGATTAGATTAAATTAAATAATATATTTTCAAGATTTGCAAAAATTTTGTAAATGAGTAAAAGTGACTTAAATGGTTTAATAGCTTCAATAAATATGCCACTGGAAATCGCAGCCGAAATCATAACATTTGTACTTAAATCAAATCAAAAAGTCAGATAAATTTTACTTAAATCTTACTGATTTATGTTGAACTTTTATGTTGGTTTTTTTTTTATTAGTATTCATACAATATTTATTAAATGACATCCTACGCCTATCCCTATATAATAATAAAAATGCTGATGCGTTGTGACGGCTGAGGTAGTAACATTATTTATCTATGGCTGAGGACTAAATGGAATGCCTTATAATTTGTAAATTAGGCTAAAAGAGTATTCGGTTCTCCGCACGAATCACAAATATTGATTCTGTAATAAGGCCGGAACTATTCGTGCTGCTGCCGTCATTTGGCTGCATCCTGACTATACCACATACGATATCCCTTTTCTAAATATTTAACCCTTTTTTTAAGGTACTCGTCTACAATTTAAGCTTTAAATTTCTCTCTTTTGCAAAAGAAATATAGTTTAATATCAGTCACAATTCCCGATAACAAAATTGTATAAGACGTTACGCTATAAAATAACTAAAATAAGCTAATCTGTCTGCTTCAAAATTGTTAACACTCCTAATATTTCTTACGGCATATGCTGCAAAATTAAGTTTGCTTGCTTATAGAGCCATATAGCGAAATTACCCATTCGGGCTTTTCGTCAATAGTGTTCATATAAAGCAACGGAATTCACATGACTCATTTCTTTTCTATTTAAGAGCACATTAGTATTCAAGTGCTTAGAATTAGGGTATTGTAAATCTTATACATTTTGTTTGTTTCCGTTTAAAAGCAAAAAAAATTGTTGGCGTTAAACCATTGTACTAATTTCAATAGAGTATTATTAACATCGTCATAACTTAATGACTGCAGTTTGAGTTTGAAAGTTAATGAAGCATCATTTCAATAGAGTATTATTAACATCGTCATAACTTAATGACTGCAGTTTGAGTTGATTTATCATCAGCAAATTATTGTACACCGTGGTTGTCCCCCAAGAAGGTTAGGTAAATCATTAATATAGATTAAGAAGAGGAATGGGCTAATAATTGATACTTAAGAAACACCCTTTGCTACTACTGACCCAGAAGAACTCTTACCATGGATACATTTTGTTATTAACTCATGAGTATCAAATAGGACAAGATGATATGGAGAGGTCGTTTTGGGTATTCCCAAAAATTACGGCTTTTTGGTCCTCAATTTCCAGAACAAAATCATATTTGCTCTTAAAAATTTGTATCAGTTGTGTTAGAGAGTATACGAATTTCTTTATTCAAAAAAGTCATTATGTTATACCACTGAGTAGTGGAAAATATAGTTTTAGCAATATCTTAAACGTGATAGAGCCGTGCTGTAGCTATATTGTGGTTACAGCACGAATGGGTCGGCTCGACCGGGGTAGGACTACGCTCTCACAGAATACCAGCGTAAAATGGCAACTTAATGCTGCTGTGTTTCGTATGGTGAGTGTAGAGAACCGGAGACCCTATTTACTGGAAATGAGGCATTCCATCTCAGTCCTTAGGTGTGGCGGCGCATCTACATTTTGATTCTTAATTAAGGATAAATGTAGATGTTTATGGGCCACAGCATCCACTTACCATCAGGTGGACTGTGTGCTCGTTTGTCACCCTTAATCTTAAAAAAAAAACCTTTACCGTAGCCGTTAAGTCTTATCAATATTTCACACAGACTTTCCTATAAATTGTCTTAAATCTTAAGTAGGTTGGCAACCGCAGTAAATTTTCAAAGTTTTATCTAAATATAATTATTTATACCTATAGGACAAAATTAGTTTTAAAAATATTTATTTGTAGTTTTGCAGTGGGCAGTGAAGGCGTAGCTTACGAAGGTCGGGGCTGGGACATACAAGGAGCACACTCATTATATTTTAATAGTATTAGCATCGGAATATGCTTAATCGGTGACTGGACAAGTGAGTACTTTACTTTACCTAAGATATGCACGATTTGTGTTCGTTCCCCACTATCATTATCCGAATTTGCTTAAGTTTTATTAAATATAAACGTACACCTATATATTTAAATCTCTTTGGTATAAACATAGATCGCTAATCCATCTGCAAAACAATAAATAAGTCATAAGGTGGTATCCACTTTGTCGGACGCTAGACAAAAAAGGTGTCGTACCGTCTAGTGACTATATATATTATAATATTTCCTTCTCCTATTTCTCCTCTTAATTTAAATAGGTATATGAACCTACCGCTAGATATGACCTTTCACTTCAATGCGCCAGATGACGCATCTCTTGAAAGTTTTGTTAACACAAAAACCTTAAAAAAGTACGTTGGTATGTTATCTATGACCAATACCCTCGCACAGGTATTGTTTTACCTAATTATTTGACATAAATAAATAATATTGTATGACCATTCAAAAAATAAATTCGGGCCTAATGGGTATAGTAGAAACTAATATAACAAATCCATTTAAACAATATTTTGTAAACTTTACGTTTATAAGTGCTCAATGTTTGATTTTTAATAATTTATTTAGAAAGGATCCATATTATTTTTTTTATCAGATTCGTTGCCACCGACGGAGCAAATCAAAGCAGCCAAGTCTCTTATTGCGCAGGGCGTTGAACTCGGCTTCATCAGACCAGACTACAAATTAATAGGGCACAGGTGAGAATTTTTTTAATTTTCGAATCGGATAAGGTTGCTGTGCCGTTAAATTGTGCCAGATATTATGTAGTGTAAGAGGACGAAATAATCTTTAAAATGATATGTTTTGACGAAGTGTGAAACTTACACTACCAAAATAATTAAGACCTTCTTTACTAAAGATTTGTTTTGTGGAACAGGCAAATACGCAAGACGGAATGTCCTGGAGCCACATTATACCAAAACTTGAAGACTTGGGATCACTACGCATCTTTTCCCGCTTCACCAAAAGACCTTCTTCATGTAGAAGAACTGCCGGAAAATGTTAAGTCATTGTTAAGAAAAAATACCACTTTATTAGAAAAATAACAAACAGAGTTTTGTAATTAGCACTGTAATATGTATTTATTTTAGCATAAAATTGTAAACATAAATAAAGTTTACAAATATGTAAGACAAGGCATTCTTATTTCGTATAGCTGTGCCCGCAACTTCGTTCGTCTAAAATCTCTGTTAACAATGTATTTCTTTAAACTTTTGTAATATTTTTAAACGACACTAGGAATTTCTTAAACACCGAGTAAATTTTAAAAATTATATATATTTATTTATTTACTTAATTTTAGTCTGTTGTTATATATATATCATTTTATCATGAAGAGAAATTTCGAGCATAGCCTTACAGGCTAAAATACAAAGATAATATTTGATCAACCTAAACATATAAACATATAATAAAAATGTAAATTGCAGATATATATATATATATATATATATATATATATATATATATATATATATATAATAAAAATATATATATATATATATATATATATATATATACATACCCTTCGGCAAGTTGTACAGAAGTCCGAAGAGTACAATTTGCCACTATGTCTGGCGTATGTGGACTATGAGAAAGCCTTTGATTCCGTCGAAATTTGGGCGGTGCTGCAGTCCCTTCAGCGGTGCCAAGTTGACTGTCGGTATATCGAAGTGTTGAAGTGCTTGTACAGTAGGGCTACGATGGCTATCCGAGTACAGAACCAGAGTACGAAACCTATCCAATTGCAGAGAGGTGTAAGACAGGGTGACGTCATATCCCCGAAACTCTTCACCGCTGCATTGGAAGACGTTTTCAAGCTTCTGGACTGGAAAGGATACGGTATCAACATCAATGGCGAGTACATCACTCACCTTCGATTTGCCGACGATATAGTCCTTATGGCAGAATCGCTGGAGGACCTAAGCACTATGCTCAATGACCTCAATAGTGTTTCGCAACGGATAGGTCTTAAGATGAACATGGACAAGACTAAGATCATGTTTAATGTCCATGTCACACCTATGCCGATAGTTGTTGGGAACACTAAGCTCGAAGTTGTTGACGAGTATGTTTACCTGGGACAAATAGTCCGACTGGGTAAGTCCAACTTCGACCGAGAGGTCAATCGACGGATTCAACTCGGCTGGGCAGCGTTCGGGAAGCTACGACACATCTTCTCGTCAGACATACCTCAAAACCTTAAAACGAAATTGTACAACCAGTGCGTGTTGCCAGTGATGACTTACGGAACTGAGACGTGGTCCTTCACTGCTGGCCGTATGAGGAAGCTCAAGGTCGCTCAGCGAGCTATGGAGAGGGTTATGCTCGGAGTTTCTCTGCGTGATAAACTTAGGAATGAGGATATCCGCAGTAGAACCAGAGTGACCGACATAGCCCAACGGATTAGTAAGCTGAAGTGGCAGTGGGCCGGCCATATAGCTCGAAGAACCGACAACCGATGGGGAAGAAAGGTTCTCGAGTGGCAGCCTCGTACCGGTAGGCGAAGTGTAGGGCGTCCCCCCACGAGATGGAGTGACGACCTGGTAAGACATGCAGGAAGTCGATGGATGCAGGTGGCTCAGGACCGTGTTTTGTGGCATTCTTTGGGGGAGGCCTATGTTCAGCAGTGGACTTGTGAAGGGCTGTAATGATGATGATGATGATATATATATCTGCAATTTACATTTTTATTATATGTTTAGGTTGATCAAATATTATCTTTGTATTTTAGCCTGTAAGGCTATGCTCGAAATTTCTCTTCATGAAAATGATATCCGTAGCAGAACCAGTGTTTTTTTATATAATAAAGGTGACAAACGAGCACGCAGTCCACCTGATGGTAAGTGGTTGCTGTGGCCCATAGACATATCTACATCTATCCTCGTTTGTGAATCAAAATGGAGGTGCGTTGTCAGCCGTAAGGACCAAGACAGAATGCCTCTTTTCCAGTAAAATGGGTCACCGGTTCTTTACACTCACCAAACGAAACACAGCAGAATTAAGCTGCTATTTTATGCAAAGCAGTGTACTGACATAATGGAACGGTAAGTATATAGACGTCCAAAAAGCTGACAGTGTCAAATGGGCGGAATTGAACAATTTGTTGCTCAAAACTTAGTGGTAATTTAGTGCTATTTTCGTGTTACTTTCGTGAATTTAATGCTGTTTACAGATAGAAGAAAATCTAGGAAATGATAATTTTTGATCAATATTAATATCATCAGAAAATGTGTGCTCGCAATATTAACGACAACAATAGCAATTAATGCTCAAATAGTGCTTTCTAGATCGCCAATAAAATAGTATTGATTATAAGATATCTGAAACACATTTTTTTTTCATACATAACACTGCTAAAAACACTAACTGAATATATAAACGTCAGGTAAAAGGAGATATTGTATAAGACCGATTTCAAAAACAATGCAAGAATTTAGTGGTCATTTAGTACTACACATATGAGCGGAGAAATATTAAAAAAAAATTACTTTATGTGTGGTGGCGGGCTTCAAATATCTTTGAAATATCATTTTTAATTATTCAGAGATACTGTAAACGATGTTTTCCATCAACGACGAGCACGTGGCAAATCAGCACTTAAAATTAAAAATTTCATTGGTGACGAAGAATCAAGAAAACAAATTACACATACATTTAAAAATATTTTAAGTTTGTGTAATTGTGTCTTAGGTTATTTATTGTTGTGCCTCTAACTTTAATCTCCTTTGCCAAAAATTGAATTGCTAGATCTTGTGTTAAAATCTGCTTGATATCCTCTAATTAATATAGTTAAATTCAAATCCACTGCAAGATATTAATATATTAATTAGTAAGTTAGTTTTGCTTAAATTGATCCAAATAAGGTAAAATAATTGAAAATTTAAAATTTTGTACAACAGACTTCAATATAAATTATTAGTAATAACCCAAAAGTTATTGGTCAGACCTTAGTGTATGGGACCACATGAGCATCAGCTTTCAAATAAAAAAAGAATCATCGAAATCGGTTCACCCAGATAAAAGTTATGCGATAACACATAAAAAAACATACAGTCGAATTGAGTACCGTCTCCTTTTTGAAGTCGGCAGATAAAAGCCTAGAAGTCGCATAATTAATATTTTGCTTCTTACTTCTTCGACCTTGTCGATCAAGTACACAGCTGGGCCTTGATCTCTCCCGTTGCTAGAAAATTAGCTTAATTCATCACGCTCGGCTGGTGCATTGATCACATGATCACAGTACCATATCTCTCACATCTTTGACGCTACTGTCGATCGGTGGTATGGGTATTTTACGTCTGGTTTTTGTAAAATTGACGGTGACGGACATATTTTACAAGCTATAAGATTTTACTCGCATTTCCCTTGCCTTTTGCGACATCTACGCGAACTACTACTTCGATTTCGTTCAATGGGATTTATAAAGGAGGAAAAAAGTGTGTCGTAATACGCAAAAGTGAAATATAGCCGCCCCGGCTTCGCACGGCTAATTTCTGGATCTCGCCAACAACGCCACCGGTCCAATTGTGAATCTAAATTATTCTCTAATCAACTTAATCGCACACACAAAATTTCATTAAAATCAGCCCAGCCGTTTAAGAGGAGTTCAGTTAGACAGAAGAATTATACAATATATTTTTATACATAAAAATCTTTCTCTTCAGTCATTCTGTCTATTGGTGAAACCACATCAAAATCCGTTACGTAGTAATCTGAGATCTTAGAGTCTTAGAGTCATTAGAGACTGGTGAGTCTCTAATGATAATTCGAATGCCACATATTTTTGAACCTTTCTAAAACATTAGTCGAAAACGCAGTTCCATGTATATTATTGTTTCTCAGTGTCAATGTTTCTTTTCATAAATGTGTATTTTCTTGTGTCATCATTTTGACTGTGTGATTTGTATAACATTTAGCCAATCTTGGGGCACTGAAATAGTGACTCTGTGGTGTTTCAAAATCTCTTTATTGTTGCGTGATCTCTCTCACATTCTAAGTGCGTATGGCCAGGCACTAAAAACTTGTGATGTATTTCTATCAAATTAGTTTTACGATTTACGAGTACCTCAAACATTACAGGTAGAACATTATTACGATTCTGCCTTGGGCAAGTATCTGAATAAATACAATAAATGAATACATGGTTGATAATAACCCCTGGGAATGAGGTGATCGCTTCCAAGCTGTTTCTAAAATAAATTTTGTACTTATATAGTTTGTACAACCATTATTGTAAAATTTGCTTTAAAAAAATGTCCCGCTGGGTTTCTTGCTGGTTCTTCCCAGGACAGAGGGTTTTTTTTCGAACCAGCGGTAAAGTAAAAAATGACTTTCAATAAGAATTACACGTGTGATCTATATTGAATAAAAAATTATTCTATTCTATTCTATTCTAATAAAAAACTATCTATCTGGTAAGTCCATGATGAATTGCCACAGACAAGATGCAACCTTACTGGCTCCCCTTTACGCAATTCCTTCATACCAAACAAAACAGCGTGTTTCTTTTGTCGTTATGTTCCGAATATTTAGGTTAAAGGACCATAATTTTCTTTTGTAAAATGATATTCCTGTAGACAAAAAAGGAGTTGCTAAACATTTTTGAAGATCAAATGCAGCAACTATAATTTTGTCTTCATTGTCTTTTTTTAATTCTTTATCTGCTCTTTTCGCACTATAATGTAATTTTGCTTTCTTCTAGTGTGCAGTCTTTTCTTTTTCTAAGTTTTCTTTCTTATATTCGTCCTCATAAGTTGTAATCTGAAAAACAAGGGAATCACAAGTATTGCAGGTATCATTCGAGGGTTTTTTAAATTTTGAATCCCACCGGACGAAAATGTACCTCACTGTAGTTCTTTGCAACATCTACTTTGTACAGGTCGTATAATAATGTCAAATTTAAATCGTTGTGTAAATACTTTTTTGCCGTATGACGTCTTGGGTAATGACTTTCGTAGGTAGAAAATTTGTTAATAAAGTTCAAAAGTGGTACTTTTCGTGTGGTCCCATATGAATTTGATCAAGGTCAGATCAATAGTTTTTGAGTTATTCTTAATAACTTATATTGAAGTCGGCTGTACAAAATTTTAAATTTTAAATTATGGTTTAATAGTAATAAGACCTACTAAATATTGTTTTTGCGCATTTCTGGATGACAAGTTTCTGTAGTATTTATAGAGTATACTTAAATCAAGTACCTCAATTTTTTTTCGACATTGCGCCCTGCAATTGTCTAAAAGGCCACCGGGGTTTGTTTTTACGAG